ATGGTTTTTGTTTCGGGTGCTTACAACGAGGCTAACTGTCCGTCATCACCATTCTTGCTCATCTCATTTGGTTACGCGTAAAGAGCTTTTCGATACGACATCCACTTGCCCAGTGAAGAACAACATTATCAGGTGTAAAATACTGCCACTTCCTCCAAGACACTAATGAAATCTCTTCAAATCTTGAATGTACCAGAAACGGAGTAGAAAAAGGTGGATAACACATACGTCTCATACATACTGAGGTTGGTGTTGACGCTTTTACCACTGGGCGTATTTCTCAAGTTTGATTTGCTAGATTTGTCGATCAATTTGCAGCTAAACTAAATCTGTTGTTAAGTGGAACAGGCAGTGACTTGTTAATTTTAACGCCTAAAAAAACGAAACTGCTATCTTTTAATCATCTGAGAGAACACTTTTACTTTCCATCAACATGACTGATGCTAACCTCAGAAAATGTGACTGATTGCGACTTCTCAGGCTAAGGTTTTTAGCTGATATGAAGTGGAAAGAGTATAGCAAATCAATTGTCAAGTCTGCAGCTAATAAAGATGGTTCATGATATCTTGCTAGACAACTTTTCCCGTCAGAATCTATTTTACATATTTATAAGTTTACTATTTGTCATCGCTTTCAATTTTGCTACCACATCTGCTGCTCGTACATTTTATTTAGAGATTCTTGATAAAATCCAAAGAAGATTCTGCAATATTATTGGTCCTGATCTAGCATCTCGACTTCAGATTCTTTTCCATCACCGTAACGTAGCTTCTCTGTGTCTTTTCTATAAATACTTTCATGGTAATTGTTCTGATGAACTCGTGGTACCTAGACTTTATGACTTTGAGTCCAGTACTAGATTGTCTGCAAGATCTCATCATTTTACAGTTGAAATGGTTAGATGTAAGCGTAATTTCTATGCAAACAGCTTGTTCTATCGCACTTCTCGCTTGTGGAAGTCTTTTCTGGCTTCTTGCTTTTCAGGCATTTTAGATCTTCAAATATGTAAATGCAATATCAATCGTTATCTCTTGCGTTCTTGTTCTTTTATTGTTCTCCCTCCTTAATAGTAGCTTTTTTTTTCTCATATTCTCTAACACTCAGTAAGCCCTTTTGTACTAGTAGATTTATTGCCTTGCTCCGGGGAAATATTTAATAAAAGTATTTCCGATTCGGCAGAATTGTCCCTGAAGAGTGTGCAACCAAAGTAAACGAAAGTACTCAATGCATCCAATTGTGCTTTGAACGAAAATTTCAGGGTCAGTACATGGCCAGCGGTGAGGTGTTATATATATATATATATTCCTGCTTTTTTGTGTTAAGCCCCAAAGCAGAGCATGATCCAGAGAACAGATCCATAATTACTTGCAGGTCTTTCTCCATATGAACAACTCGGTCTGCGTTGTCAGCATAATGAAGCTCCCTGACGAGGATATGAAAGGTCTTTGAGTTTGCATTAAATCGTCTCAGATCAAAAACTTTATATTTGGTTCCGAAGGATAGACAGACACCTATATTTCAGCCATGGAAAGCCTATGAGAGTGTTACAGCCAAATATATAGAAAATAAAATTGGTGTTGCCTTCTTTAACTCCAATATCGGTGGCTGTTGGTTCATTGTAACTTCAATGGTTCACATCGAAGTTAGAATGAACTTTCGCGCCATGATCTAGTTGTTTAAACATGATTATAAGAGCAGGTGGACATCCGAACTTACAGAAACTGGTGCACAGAGTTGTCCTCTTCCCGGTACCGAATGCCTTGTGTTGATCGAAAAGAAATTGGCATGGTTCAATGCATTTCTCCAAGAGTTAACATGAAAAATAACTCTTGTCATTTGTACCATGAAATGATCTAAATCCACATTGGCTCACTGGGATGGCGGAAGATCAATCCATTTTGGATTAGTAAACATTTTTCATCTCTCTCTCTCTCTCTCTCTCTCTCTCTCTCTCTCTCTCTCTCTCTCTCTCCCTCTGATTCTCCGTCTGATTGTCTGTCTGTCTCTCTATATCTTTATATATATATATATATATATATATATATAGAGAGAGAGAGAGAGAGAGATAGACAGACAGACACCCTTGAGGAAATTAATTGAAACAAAACGAATTATTCCGTTATTATTTACTTTTTTTTCGTATTTTTCTAATGAAACATGACAAAATGCATATGTTAGTACTTCTTATGCCCATTCCACGAAGTCGTTCATTGCAGACTGACCACAAATTCTCGACTGGATTTAAAGCAGGAGGATTTCCACGCCAGTCTATAGGACTTCGATTTGCCCACTGGTAAGGATCGCTAGTATGTTCGTGCAGCGTTACAATTTTCGTACGTTTCCTTGGAGTAGCAGCCATCGCAGACAATGGTCGTAGGACAGCTAATCGACAGCCGAGACAATAGCGTTCACGTGTGATTAAAATCTGATGCAATCACGGATGCCGCAATATTTTTCAAGGCCAAACAAATTCAATCATACACCCCGAAAATAGATTCATATTACTGCACACCACTGCAAATGACCAAATCTGAGAAAAAAATAGAAATCTATTACACCCTCTCACTCTCTGACCGTATGGTGAAAGTAAGGATTTAAGCAGTTGTTTAAATTAATTTGCACAAGGGTATATATATATATATATATATATATATATATATATATATATATATATAATAACAGTAGGAAAGACGGTGCTTAAAAAGGGTCGTTTAGAGTGTTTCTGGAAGAGATAGGGAATAGTAAGAAGAAAAGGTTCACCTACCTGTCCCTACTTTGAGATTAAATTCACTCATCTGTGAACTTGATTCTAAAATTAATGAAGCACCCTGACAATTGGATGTGATCTCCACAAAACTCAGAAACAGATGTGAACATTTAAGTTTATTTAATTATATGAAGACCTTCTCAGGGTATGAATGTACTCGTATGTGTGTCTGTCCATTTTGTTGGTAGACAATCAATGCTTTTATTGTTGACATAGAAGAAAAGTGTTACTTGGAACGAATCAGTATAAATATTGTCCGTTCTTGGCCATACACATGAGAGGCTAATAGAAGGAAATTACTGGAAAGTAATTGAAACTCACCTGAAGCGAGCTGAATGTGTAATGCTCCTCATGCCAATGACACTTCCACCGAGCTTCTCTACGGCATATGATTTCACTGAATTTTGATGTAATATATAAAAGCAAAAAGTATGGATGGTACTCTTTTTTTAAACAAATGTCTTCAAATTCTTTTACGTAGACATTCTAGATTTGTTTCTTATGACGACGTAAAAATAAGTGAAAATTTTTCACTGGGTTAAACATTTCAATCACTTGTTAAATTAATCACCAATAATAGCCCCCAAACTTAATATCTTATAGAGTTTCAGCTTTCTGAATTTTAATGTAAGGGTTTAAAATTCAATGCCGAATAGTTTATGTTCATTTAAGCAGAGAGACACTTTGGCAGAGCAAAGATAAAGCGGTAACTTTATAAGCTCTGCACTTGCAAGAATGTTTGTGCGGGAATGTCAGTGAGTTTGTGGAGGTATAGAATAAGTCTTTGAAAAGTTCTCGGCCCAATCCATTTGCCAAAATTTGACTATCCTACGATTAAAATTTAAAGGAAATCTCTATTTGGATGAACTGAGAGCTTTTGAGGAGCACCATATATATATATATATATATATATATATATATATATATATATATATATATATATATCATAAAAAATATACTTTTAAGGTATGCTATATTATGAGGAAGTGTTCAATGCCAAATATGCTTTTCTATTCATTTATTTAGAATCTTTCAGTTATTACTGTCTTTCTTTCACACTTTCTTTCATATTTCTATCTTCTCTATTTTCCAGTTTTCCAGTTTCTTCCTTCTAGGTATACAGACAAATTTACGCATACATACATATATATATATATATATATATATATATATATATATATATATATATATATAACTTTTTAGTAATTTGCTGGCCAAGTTCTGACTCACTTAAGAAGCAGAAAGAAAACAACAAATCTTCATCTCTGATAGAATTTTCAAGTAGTACTGCATTTCGAGCTTGTTCCACACACACACACACACAGAGTCGCAGAAATTGTCTGAAAGCCACGACTGTGTTTCCCTGCTTGCGTCACATGGTGCAGAATCCAATTGCCAGACATAGGGTCTTCCAGCAGCCACCCTCTTGACCCAGGGCAGCATTACCTCATCAAGGTACTTGACGTACGCCTTTGCATTAAGTCTGAGGGCCTCACCAACAAATTTTGGAAATCCTTTCTCATCAGAATGATTAAAGTGAGTTTTTTTTCCAGTTGCCGTACCTCCGTAATCACCATTAAACTCATCCAACTCTTTATAAATCCTTTCTGCATTGTCCTCAGATTGACACCCAAACACTCTGAAATATTCGTATTAGAGCTTCCGGCGCTAATGCCAAACTGTACAGCATGCCGTTTCCAAATTTTTGGCAGAGTGAATTTCATCATGGTTCTCTTTTTCTCGGAGACGGTGCCCAACTGACCCTACTATACTGCGCAGTAAACAACATCAAAAACAGAGAACGCGCATGCGCGAAATTAAAAATACCAACTGGCGGCAATTTACATATCACACCCTGTATATGACTGAATATAATAGAATATTCTATTAATATTATTCGATACACATCCCAATGTACGATTAGTCATTTTTTGATTATTTTTTCATCTGTGATATCCAGAATAGATTCTTCGACTTGGTCACATTCTAAATGACACAAATATTTGCGTCAGTTTTCTCTTATATCCGGGTTTGGTCTATTTTGTTTACATTAACACAGGCTCTAATTTTGGACCAGAGAAAATCCCTCTTATATCCGGGTTTCTCTTATATCCGAGTCTCTTATATCCGGGTTACACTGTATTAGTTATACGCAAAACTCGTTGTATAATTTAAATCATCAATGTTTGGAAAAATCTTCCCTGAACCGTAAAATAAGAACAAAATCAATGAAACCAAGACATTATTTAATTAGAAAAAATTCCAATCACTTTTATGAATAATATATATTATGAACACTATTGCATTAAAAAAAAATATGTCGAAGAATAATGAATTTTTACAAGAATTATGTTCCTTTTTTCATTTTAATTAGAATAATTTATGAAGCTTTAAATCTTTTAAAATTCTGTATTAATTTCAACCAGTTAAAAGTTATTGTTATCAAGTAAAAAAAATATATTAACTAATCATAAATGGAAAAGCTTAACAATTAAGTGAACTCCAATATTTTAAAAAGAATTTTGAACTTGTGTGCGTGTTTACAAACGTGCCGAAATTTTTAAATACAAACGACCATATCAGAAAATAGTATCTATAACTCTAGTAAATTTAAAGCCAAACTACCTGAAATTCAAATAAACGATTAAGGAGGATATTTTCTTAAATTTTTAAGATAACTCTGTTGTTAAAAATTATATAAAAAAAGGCGCTCACGTTATATTTCTCAAATAATTTTTACATTATGTCCCCCATAGAAAAAATTAAATAAAATTTCGGTTGTAAATCAAGTTGTCAAAACCTTAAATAAACAACTATTGTGGTTTTAAAAATACATAATTTTTTGCGGCATTTTAAACTAAAAGAAAGTAAAATTTGTTTCAAACCAGATTAATTTAACTTTAAATCAGCTAATATTACTTAAATAAATTTTCTGGAAATATATTTTATTTTTGAAAGTTTTTTTTTTTAATAAAGAGAATGACAATATATTGGCAGATGGTTTAACCATCTGCCAATATAAGTTAATTCTCTTTATTAATGGCTAAAATCAACCACTTTTAACAATTAAAAATCCCTCCCTCCTTCTTGTCAATCTAAATTTTTTTTTTTAAATACATCAAAGTATTTTGCTTACTGGAAATATTAAATTTAATCTGTTAACATGAAATTAAAAGTAAAATAAAAGTTTCAAGAAAGTGTTTTAATTTCTAAAATTTCATTTTAAACCCTAGTTATCGTTTTCTTTGGCGATGATATATATATATATATATATATATATATATATATATATATATATATATATATATATATGTGCGTATATATATATATATATATTTTCTTCCTGATTTATTCTCTGCCATAGACTCTTCTTCCTCTTTCTGTTACTTATTATATTTATTTCGTCTCCCTCCTTCTTTTCTCATCATCTCCAACCCCCCCTCTCTCTCTCTTCCCCCTCTCTCTCTCTCTCTCTCTCTTTCTCTCTCTGAAAGGAAACTGCGTCATCAAGCTATTCTTGAAGATTCGTTGTCATATACAGAATCAAGTACAAACCACATTTAAATACTTTAGCATCAGTGTCCTACCTTTTATCACTTGACCAAATCGGACACATCCGGATAAATTTGTCGCACCTCCCTCCACTCATAAAGAAAAGCTTCGAAAAGTTTTATAGATTATGAGATGACCAACGCCTGTTTGGCCAGTCGGTGTCCATCCGCGGGACGAAATGTAGTTTAGCAGACAATTTGGCGCGGCAACCACGCACCTATAAACAAGCGCTAGAACCGACAATAGCCTTATGGTATTAATTAGTCTTATCGTTATGAATAATACAGACATTAAGAATCATGACACTTAAAATCTAGAAATGGCACACACAAATTATGGCAGCTTATCGATTATACGTTATCAAAGCACTGATTCTCTTACCGGGTGTTTTAATAAAAATCACTGCTACAGAGAAATTACTAAACCAAACGATAAAAATCTTAATTGCCTGAAAATCTGAAGCAAAATCTTTATTTCTTGACAAACATTTTCGAAATATTTCCTCAATTTTTACCGTTCATAATTTTGGCCTTTTTTGTATTGTCTTATTATCTTAGAAAAGGTCCTAATTTTCTCCCTGCTATCTTTATCTTTGTTGTTTTTAGTACAGTCTTTCGGTTGGTATTTATATCGGCCTTGCATTGGCTGAAGTTCGGAGATGAAGTGTTTTTAGTAGTTTTTAGATATTTTTACACTATCATTTTTATCTTGATTACTTTTGATACGGTGTTTCAGCCGTTATATTCTACGGTCTTCCCTATGTCAGGTGTGATGAATTTTCAACGTTCCGTACATTCTTTTCCGACTATTTGGGTTCTCTACTAAGAATGAGAAAGAAACAATCATACTAATAGGTACCAATTAAACTAATTTGGTAGTAACCGACTAAAAGAATTCGGATTTACCATAATGCCTACTATACAATATGCATCGGTATCTTCTTCTTCTTCTTCTTCTTCTTCTTCTTCTTCTTCTCCTCCTCCTCCTCCTCCTCCTCTTCTTCTTCTTCTTCTTCTTCTTCTTCTTACGTGGACGATCATGGATCACCACAACATCCTATTTTTTGTAGCACTTAGCAAAGTGTAGCTTTTTAATATACTATCCATCCCCCATGCATTTACTGTTTGTTATGTAGGTTAATCACCGTTCGCCTCTGTCCATCTTGCCTTCACTATGTCCTGTGAGTGTTAAATTATCTAAACCTTCTTTCCTCGTTATATATCCCAGAAATTTCAAATGTATTTTTGATTGTGAGTAAAAATGCCCTTAATTTCCTTACAACTTCATCGTTACTCAAATATTTCGTCCAGTATCCTTTTGTAGAACAATATTTCTATTGCCTGAAGTCTCTTCTTCATCTGAGAGGAAAATGTCCCACATTCAATGCCATATAAGAGGACTGGTATTATATCGCAGTTCAACGTTCGCTTCTTTGTTTCTAATGAAATTTTCAAATTTCATAGTACTTTCCTTAGCTTTTGCAATGCATTTTTCTATTCCATATATATATATATACGGAGTGTAACAGCAAAAATTGTCCAAATCGTGTAACAGCACGGGATAATTGTCCATCCAATAAAATTTTTAATATCTACAAAAAAAAAAAAAATACTAAACTAATTGAGTTTTTACCAAGTTTTCAGATAAGACGTTTAGCTATCGTGACACCAGTTGTCATAAGAATCACTGAAAAAAAAACTTGAGTTATTCAGCTAGAAAGAAAACAGGTTAAAACAGTTTTTGTCAGTCCCACTATATTTTCCTAACAGAAAAATGGTGAAAGGAAGAAGATCATCCAGGTCTTTATTAATGCTACCAACATTCATACTCTGACCAATTGGCGAATAAGTTTTAAAATGAGTGAATAGTAGACAGGAAAACAGGATCAGGAGGCCACAACAGCAAGAAGGATCATCATTTCAACTTTGAGATAAATACATTTTTATTGTTCAAAGTTGAGTCCAATAGTTTTATAAAAAGCTCGGAAAATTCCAATAAGATATCTTTAATCATTTCCAAGATACAACTGTTCAAATCTTAATCTAATAATTTTGCTACTATAGAGTACACACACACACACACACACACACACACACACATATATATATATATATATATATGTGTGTGTGTGTGTGTGTGTGTGTGTGTGTGTGTGTGTGAAAAGTGTGTGCATATAAATATAAATATATATATATATATATATATATATAATTATTTATATATTATATGTGTGGTACTTATTAGAAAGCGCTCAATATCAGAGAACACCAATACACGCAATCTACATAAACCCAAATTTTAAAAAAATTAATCAGTTTGTCTGACAATCGCAAAAGCGTGAAACCCAGGGTCACAAACTCACATCCATCCAACCAAAATATATATATATATATATATATATATATATATATATATATATATATATATATATATATATATTTGAAAAGTGAAAAAGATTCTTACAGGTACAAAATTTTATTATGGCAAGGAATAAGCGGAATGTAAAGGACATAATTATGAAAACTAAGAACTAAAACAAACAACCGGTTTCGTCCCAGTACTCCTCAAGTTTGATACACTGGGATTATTTAATCATAAACTTAAAAACAAAAAAAACATTCAATGAGGGGGAAAGGGGGAAAATTTTTTATATATGATGGAAAGAACTAGAGCCCAATCACATTCAAGCCCAACAAGCAATCTCTCTGCTTACAGAGAAACGGCCTGCGGGACTTGATGTAAATGGACTCAAGAACCTTCAAATGATATGCAGAGTGCGACTTCGCCAGAATGGAAAAACAGTCAACACTCAAACCAGCAACACATTCCCTGCTAGTTATAGCGTGTTCCGCTATAGATGACCCGGATGTATTCACTAGTTGGCTTTTGTTAGCGGCCGGATTTAAAATTCTGGGGGGTAAATGTTGTTTAATTCTAAAATCCAAACGCTGAGAGATTGCTTGTTGGGCTTGAATGTGATTGGGCTCTAGTTCTTTCTATCATATATAAAAATTATTTTTTCCCCCTTTCCCCCTCATTGAATTTTTTTGTTTTGTTTTTAAGTTTATGATTAAATAATCCCAGTGTATCAAACTTGAGGAGTACTAGGATACATTAAGGAAAGTCTACTTAGAAAATTCAACACTCACGGAACACATGGATGGAAAGAGGTGCAGAGGAAAAAAAGCGGGTAACGTTAATAATAAGTTTCAGTGAAAGGATAGCATAGAGAGAACAATGAATGATTGTTGCTCTAAACATTGTTTAGCGCTACAAGAGATAGAAAGTTGTGGAGAGCCATGATCGGTGACGTTCTGAAAGGATATGACGCATAAAAAATATTTTATTTTAACAACTTCAGGAGTTTCGTGTGTCAAAAAGAGAAGTTTAGATGTCAGTCTGGTATCGTTAATCCGAACTGGTTGATACGAAGTGGTTTTTAGAGAAGCGTTATATGCGTCTTATATAGAGGCAAATATGGCAGTTAAAAGAATGAGCATAACGCAATGCTGCTTTGGTGACTAATAAAAAAAATTACGAATGGGTTGGAAATTCTTCACACGCACAGATGTATTCATCAAATATTAATTCTTCGGATGACTATTTATTCCTTTCTTTGCAGAATTTCCAGGAAGACTGCTTGAAGCCCTTAGTGTAATTCTTTTGCAGGGAACTGTAATTTCAGTCATTTTTAATGAAGCCTGTATAAAAGAGGGTTGCTGGCAAAATACACAAATATATATATATATATATATATATATATATATATATATATATATATATATTTGAATAACAGTCCTTCCTTCATACATGCTCCATTGAATACGATGGTCAATAAATATTTTTTATTGTTTTTCTAGTGTTCCTATCATTCTTATTTCATGAGGATTCAGAGAGTGTCGAAACTTAGCCCAATCTCTTTCGATTAATACTTTATTCATCTCTTATACCCCACCGTTTTCAATAAGTAAAATAACATTTCTATGATATATAGTAATTTTAGAGGGAGGATGATTTTTGCTAAAATTTGTCTGAACGTGACAAATCGTTATTATCAAATACGACAACCCGAAGTCCATGTCAAAATCACTGCTCTCTGTCGGCCAGAAGAACTGGTTAGAGGTGTCACTAACATCATCGAACCAGACAGGTTGACCGATGAGGCGTTGACCGTAATAATTTTGTCCACGCTTTCGAGACCTGAGCAACACTGCCCAGCGACCTGGAGGCGACGTGAAGTTGACGATGCTCTGAAAGTAAAGACCAGACGATGCGAGAGAAAACGATAGAACGCGAGAGGTGACGTGTTTTTCATTTGGAAGTGAGACAGGGAAATATTGGACTTGGGTAGCTGGCATGCATTGATTGAAGGTTAGGAGTGCAGGAGGTATAAAATGAAGGGACGGAAGAAAAAATAAAATAGAAAGAAGCTATAGAATTGAAAGATGAAAATATGAAAAATATTGAAATGACGAATGTATTTGGGGGAGATGAGAGAAGATGAAAGAAAAAAGTAAAAAAAAAATAATGAAAAATAATATTAATAAAAGAGACCTTCCTGTGGCAACAAATACGGGTGGATATCAATAAATACTGGTAGATGTTAATATATTCGGGTAGATGTCAAGCTTTCAAGACTTAATTTTAAAGTGGGTTATATGATATACAAATATTTATAACAGCGGAAAATAGCTTATGTCCATATAACGTTGAAACATTGGTTCTCGAACAATCACCAATGTAAAGCAACGTCGAGAGTGGTCAGTACCGAGAGCGTGAGCTTGGATGTGCGGATGGTGTAATGGTTAGCTGCTCGGAATTGGAAATCGGGAAGCGGAGTTTCAGTTCCAATCGGGTTCATTATATTCACTTACACGCAAATACCCCTGGGAAAAGGTATGAATCCACCATGAATCCCCGCAGCTATGGGGTAATTAATAGGACTTGTTTCAGTAAATTATTATTATCTCATAAAAAAATCTTAGAATCTAAAAATAATTTCTGAGTTTAAGTAACCTGAAAAAAGTTGAGAAGTCGTAAAAAACAATTTAATCAATGGCGGATGAATGACAAAATGGAAACATATATACTGTTAAAAGTTTTCAAACTAATAATAGTTTATAGATTAAATATCATACACAGACACACACACACATATGATCTGGGAAGTGGGTTGTTTTTATAATTTTACATTAGCCCCTCGGGTGTATATATATATATACATATATATGTAAAAAGCATGATGTGTGTGTGTGTATGTAACGAATGCACGGCCGGAATTTTCGACGGATTTGCAAGACCGACTTTGCATTTCCCAACTCCCATCGATAGTGGAAATAATTGATTTTTTTCATGCTTCTACGGCAGTTTTCATGTAGTTTGCGGCCATTTTCTACTGGCCAGAGTGAGAGCCTATAGCTGGCTGCCACGAATAGGCAGGAAGATTCTATTGGCCAGCCTGAGAGCCAACAGCTGACAGACACGAATGTTAACGAGCATGCTAGCATGCAAAAAAAAAATCGATTAAAATTTAAATTTAAATTTGCATGGCACTTTACTCCAATTGGCTCATTCGCTTGCTTAAACTCAACGTTGATTCTGATTCCGCAGAACTGGGTTGGATGTGAAAAAGTATTTGTTGTTAACATTCTTTTTTCATTCGGTTTTTCCAGTTACGAATCCTTTTTTAAAGTTGATCGTTTTGTGTTCATTTTGTTTGGTTCTTTTGTCGTAACAGATTTAATGTTTAGTATAGAGCTTAGAAAAAATCCGCAGTGTCAGATAGGCAAGAAGTAAGGCATGTAGCAAAGGACACTCCTTTACAGGCAAGGAAGGGCAAAAATATTTTAAGTCAAGTGAAAGCGATTGCTGTATGAGTCGTACGATTTTTGAATCAAGCACAGGCTATGCTGCTAGTATATATATATATATTTCACGCTTTTGCGATCATCAAACAAACTTGTTTATTTTTTTAAAATTGGATCTAGTTATGCTTGTTTGACTATTTTTGTTGGTGTGAGGTGGAATC